GCAAGAGTTGAAACATAGCAACGGGTATTCCATCATGTTTAACTATAACCTCTTCCTATGTCAACATATCCATCACAAACTGACCTAAAGTAAAACCGACTAATGCAAGAATAAGTTGAAGCCCTTTTTAAGCAAACAGGATGGGGGAAGGGTAGGCTAGCCTAATTTGCGGCATAAAGCGAAGAACCTCAATATAAGGGTTCTGAAATTGGTCGCATTTTGCGGTTGTTGCGTCCTGGGACCGTAAGTAACTCCCAATGCTTCTTCGTTTTGAGCTTCGCCTATGCACTAGTAAAGTTGACATTCATGACGCAAAGCTTTTTGACTGCAATAAGTGGGCAAGCTTCGTATTCAAGCGGGACGTAAACAGGTTCTACATAAGGTCGCGCCGAACCTAAGGTGTTCTTTGTAGTTGGGGGTGGGACCAGAGATTACATCTGGTGTTTCAGTGTTCATGTAGGTTCTGAAAGCTGAGGTCAGCCTGCACTGCCGCAGATGTAATAGTACCAGTGTTTACCTTTTGCCGACACCTTTATTGACTTGGAACGAGTAGACTTATTAGGTGGAGGCCGTCTATCTCAGCAATATTATGGATGGTAAGCAGTGTTCAGGACATTACGCGTTCTACGTACACTTCTTCCTTGGAGGTAAATGAAACCCCTTCCATATCAACATCCGTACTCGATGGGCACCTCTCAAATCAAGGGTGCATTTAAGCAAACACAACTTTAGAAAAGTAGGTGAATATGCATTTTTGCACTGTGACAGTTTCCCCAGCAAAACAACTATCATGGGGACAGTGAATACAAAGTAGGTGGGAAGCCAGCACTCTCATTTAACACCCACAATATGTGCCGACGTCATTTACATTTTGACACAATATGTTCGATCTTAAATTTCTCGAACAGTACAGTATAATACGGTACATAAGAGTCCCACGTGATCTCTCTAGCGAAGGAATGTTAGGCAGTTGAAGCCATCTGAAAATTACTCAGTGGTTGTTGAGGACAAGAAACTACGTTTCACCTACTTCTACCATGTACACAAAGTGAAAAATAATAGAGTGATGTGTTTGTGTTTCGCAGTAGGCCCTCGTAGCTAATCTAACAACGTTGCAGAGAAGGTGCAAATTGTAAAAGTCAAACGCAATCATCCTAAATTTAGCTGCAGTTTTATAAGGTATTTTTACACAATAAAAACTAAATTTCTCTTGCAAAGATTGTCAAAGAATTCGGTTTAATTTGAAATCAACAAATTTTAACAACATAAACAACCTCTCTTAAGCGGTACAATACTCGTTTGTTGAGCACAATGCACTTATGGTATTTTATCCTTCTATGAGAACACAAATCTGTCTATTACTAGGAAAAATCAATTAGCACCGGGGCAAGGAGTTTAGATGAGCTCTCAATAAACCTTAGAATCTACATTACTAGTGTGTGCCATCCTAGAGTTTCGTTTTGCATAGATATCCCACACGACTATCTTTTTCCGGTCCCCTTACTTTTCCTGTACTTAGCAATCCTTTGCCATTTTAGTCTGTCTAAGCTGTCAGAGAATTTTGTCCGGCTACCCTAATTCTCTTAGTTGGCCGCCAAACCAATGTTCGCACAAGTTACAGTGTAATAATAACAACCACTTCTTGAGTAAAGGAACTTGAAAGTGAAAAGCCATAGCATTTATGAATTGTTTAGCCTTTGAGACCATATGCTGTTTTCAATTTTCAGTCTATTATAGACACAACTCTGCGCACTTCACTATCAATTTGTAATATACAGTTGTATTGTTAATACAGAATTTTACACAATGGGGCTTTAATTTCTAACTTCTTAGCCCTGCATGAATCAAATCCTTTTATCTTAGGGACGTTTGTTAAAATACAGCAGCATTTTGATTTAGACTGCTGTTGATGATGTTTTCAATGGAACCGTTCAGATCACCGTTGGTGGAAGACCAAAAATGGCTCTTCAGTAATGCAAAATGAGACTTTTTATATTTCTGGTACCCATGAGTAATAAAATACCAACAAATTTAATTGGTCCGTTTTTGAAGACGGACGATATTTGTTCGACTTTCCACCTATGAAGAGCATCTAAAATCAATATGGATTGGCAAAGGAGTGGGTAAAATGTTGACTTTTTAGGAATAAATATAAAATTGGCCTATTTAGATCGTCAGAAGCGGTTGAAAAGGGCTGAAAATATCCTCTCTATCTTGCATTCTTAGTAGCGTCACATTAAATAAACCGTTAATCAATTAGACAAGGATGTGCTTTCTTTTACGATTGTACTTCTAGATGCAAACTACTCGAGTTTTTTCATTCACTGCAGTTCGTCTACTGGCGCACTGCTGCTTTAATGTCCAAACAATCAGAACATATCTTTCCTCCAGGTCTACTGTTTTTAGAAGTTATAATAACCAGAATAGACTGGCAAAACAGACATTCGAACAGTGTGACGCTTAACTGAGTTTACAGTCCATGTTAGAGCAGTGGATTAAGTGATGCTGAAGACACCAAAAGAATGAAAATTTGCAAATTTGGCATCCTGTTATCCACACAATGAGGGGCCCACCTGGTACCGACATTTCTCTCTACCAAGTCCCTTATGAACATCTACTGACACAGGCGCATTTATATGAGGTCGCTTCCTAATGGTGACTATCTATGGTGTCCACTTATCCATTCCTGTTGCATAGTCAACGATTTCTAATCCTTCACTTTATTTTAATTGATCCAGTGACAAGACTTTGTCGCCTAATGATAACAGTCGGCAACCTTTCAATTTGGCTGAGTAGTACAGGATTTGGATTCTTTTATGAAATAAAACCGCACCGAATTCACTAATTTTAGTCGGCGTCCATTTTACGCATTAAGCATGCATGAGAAAATGGACGTAGAAACAACAATTTCTATATGCCCTTTTATTTAGCTCCAACTACTTCGTAGACCTCCTCCAGATGGATCGAGATTTGCAAAATATAAATCGAGCTCTGCCTTTTTTTCGATTTACTCCCCCTCTGTTAGTTATTGACTGATTAGCAATACACCTAAAGATCATCCATTTTAAACTTTAGTAGTTCGTTTTCCATGCCAAAAAGCATTTCTCTTTTAAAAAGGATTCACTAAATTGACTAATCCTTAAGATTTTCACTGAACGCATGCAAAATGAACAGTGTTGAGTTGTCCTTTATGCTAGTTCAAATCGGAGTTGCAGGCTGCGCTCATTTAAACCGTCTAGCACTTTAGACATGGAAGGAGGTAAGTAAGATTACCGGTACGGTATAATGGTACCTCCAGAAGAGCATGAGGAATCCATGCCACCCTCGATGGAGCATAGAGAAGACGATGTTGAGGAGGAGCCCCCTCGAGTAGTGTCGGTGGTGGATACATCAACCAGAACATCGTCCTGTGTAAGAGGAAGGGTGGAAGCAGCCACTTATTCATCCAATCCTCGCCAAGGCAATCCTTTAAGCCAAGGCTTTAGTATATAATCGAATAGACACTACGTGTCTGTTGAAGCATTGAATGACCTACTACTGCGGCTTAACGCTGCATTAATGGAAAACCTTTCTGTAAGCACTGTTTACGCAGCCGTGATAATACTGTGTTCTGGTGCAATACGACCCTGTTGTCTGCCACCTTACACCACAGGTACATTCCCTTTGAGAGGAATAGGAGGCGAATCGAGTGTTTTAGGTTGATAGGTAATAAAATGCTCTGAATTCTTTCAGTTTTTCCCTGCATCTATTTCTTTCTGGCGTTTACGTGATCCTGCAAATTATGGGTACATAACCTCACGCTGAAAGTGGAATCGCTGCCACCATTGCTACTAATAGGTATGAGAATGCCAAGCCCACATTTCAACCAGCTATGTGTCTAGGTATGGAATCTTCCACCACAATTTACCCAATCAGATCTCATCGCTTATTTTAAACAATTTGGATTGATTGCGGAGGCCACTGTGGAGGACCATTTGGCACGCACTGATCAACGGCGTCATGGTAGTTTATTTTTCTTTACTGCAATCTAGACGTTTCAATAATTTATTTAATTATTATTTATCCTGTAGCATTTGTACGTTATTACAACTTAGAAAGTGGAAGGGCAGCTGTTGCAAATATGGACGGTCATGTGATGGGCGGCTGTAGACTGGCAGCCATGCGTGAGTCAAGAGAATTAAATCTTTCCATTTCTACTTTACTACTGTGCAAAGGGACAAAAGATGACTTTATAAAAATATTCAGTCTATTTTCCTATTTAGATAAGGATGTAGCCGCCGCCGATGTAAATTTCAGCACCATGGAAACCGTCTGTCATCTGCTACGCCTGCTCGCTTCCTTCCCTTAGGTTTAAACATTTGGCACTAGCAACGGTACGACCGTCCGGTATGGTCTCTTGGCCATGTGGTCAGTGTATACGCATTCTTGCTTCGTTTTCACGATGCCTATATTTGTCCTCTGGAAGTGTATTTCATCTCCACTTTGTCCAATGCCAAAAATGTACTGATAACGAGAGAATTCCTTACTTCACTGTTGTTGACAAGTGCAATCCTCCACTAGAATAGCGGAAGTGGATTGCAGAAGTTCACAGTTAACTAATATTGCATCAATTTACATGCTGCGAAAACCTGTTTGACCACATATTCATTAGCTTACACTAACCAATCACTTTGAAGCTAGGGGATCCAATGCTTTAATAAGATGAGGTTACAAGTGATACTTCAAGGAACTGATGTAAAACTAGATGCATGAGCATGTATATGAGCAAATTATAGTCAGATATGGCTGGTCAGAACCAAAGTGGAGCATAGTCATCACCGCAGGGCGAAAGTCCGCAATCCACAGCGTACGTACGAATCATTAAACTGGAGCATTAGTACTAGATGAATGAGATAGCCTTTAAATTACGGCAGATAACGCTTACCCTCAAGACAAGGCCGTAGAATTACCTATGCCAGTCAATACACATGCAGTGGGAAAGGAAAAACTTTACTTCCTTAATAACTTTTCTCGGTCCTAAAATCAACAAGGGAAGGTCAAGTTTATCAGGTTTGCTAGCACCTGTTTTGGATGCAGTCGAGAAAAAACACTGAAATCAGTACTTGGTGGAGGTAGCACCAAATTGTTAGCTTTGATACAAATAGACAGTCGCCCCTGCATAAGTTATGCATCACTGGCATGAAATTAAGTAGCCTTCAATTCGCTCTGCCTGTAATTAAGCCCAGTATGCGTAAAGCCTCTCATCTTCTTTCTTTTTTCTTAAAAACTTGGGATATGTCCAAAGCAACTAAGATATCTTAGTATGCTCTATATCAGTTGTAGCCCATTACATGCAGCAAAAAGAATCGTGTTTGTGTCCTGAATTAAATACCTAAATTAAGTTCCTGATGTGGGTAGTGCCCTTGCGGTTGAAATTGTACGGTAAAACAGCGGGAGCATGAATTCATGGAGTGCGTAGTTAGAAGTCACATTTCCTACAGAATATTGCTGACCAATT